AAACACCAGATAGATACCGGTGATACTCCGCCAATAAAATCTAAACCGCACAGGACTTCGTGGCGAGGCCGCGAAATTATCCAGGAGCATGTCAACGACATGTTAACAAAGGGAATAATTCGTAAATCGAATTCACCGTGGTGCTTCCCTGTCGTATTAGCAAGTAAGAAAAATCCCGATGGGACGATCGGTACGCGATTCTGCGTAAATTATATAAAGTTAAACGACGCTACTAAAAGAACAATTATCCGCTTCCCAATCCAGATGAGCTTCTACAAGCTGTCGCGGATAATAAATATTATTGTGGATTTGACTGCAATGCAGGATTCTGGCAAGTGCAAATGCACGAGAATTCCATTGAAAAAACTGCGTTTATTACGCAGGATGGACTTTACGAATTTTACGAATGCCGTTCGGTGTCTGTAATGGCCCTGCAACGTTTCAGGAAGCCATGAATAGGACGTTATCGGACGTTCATAGCGAAAATATTTTTGCTTATTTAGACGACATTATCGCCGCCGCCAAAGACTTCGAAGACCTTAAACGTAAAATACGTTTAATGTGTGAGTGTCTTTTAAAGACAGGTTTCACGCTGAAACCGAGTAAGTGCCATATTGGCGAGACAGAATTGCACTTCCTCGGACATATCGTGTCCAAGGATGGGATAAAAACTGATCCCGATAAAATAGCGGCTATAGAAAAATACCCAAAGCCAGAGACAGAGAAGGATCTAAGATCTTTTCTCGGACTTTGCAATTATTATCGTAAGTTCGTCAAAGACTTTGCCGGTAGAACGCGCCGTTTATACGGCCTATTAAAAGGAGAAATTGATGTAAAATCAAATTGGACCGCAGATCACGATGGTGAATTTGCTGATTTAAAATCGGCATTAATTAACGCGCCAGTATTGGCGAAATTTGATCCCAGTAAACCAACCGTAATTGAGTGCGATGCATCGACAATAGGAATCGGTGCAATATTACACCAAGATGGACATCCGATTATATATGCGAGCAAATTGCTCACCGATGCTGAAAAGAAATATCCAATTACAGAATTAGAATGTATGGCAGTAGTCTTTGCGTGTCGGAAATTTCGACACTTCATTGAGTACTCACACTTTTCGGTACAGACCGACCATCAAGCTTTAACGAATTTATTGCGATCGGTTTCCCGCAAAGAGGGATTAAACGGCCGATTAACGCGTTGGGCACTTCAGCTCAGCAGTCATAAAATGACTATTTTATATAGGCCGGGAAAACAATGTGATAACGCTGACGCGTTGAGTAGGCACCCGGTAGGAGAGGCTACAGAATGCCCAGACGATGACTGGGATGAGTTTAAAGACTCAAAATTCAGTACTCCGTCCATTCGTGTAGTAACGATAAGGGACGGAGCCGACCATGAAGAAGGGGAGGACAATTTCAAGTTCTACAGAGTAGAACAGGAAAAAGATCCGAATATCGAACGCATAATACATGCGCTAGAAGGACGCGTAGAAAGCGTACACTTACTAAAGCGACCCGGTTATTCCGGCTACGAATTATGGAATGGTGTACTATATAAGATTTCAGAAAAAGACGGTCGAATTAATCGCCGTTTTGTGGTGCCAAAGCACATGCGAGTGGATATCATGCATGCCATGCATGATGCACCGGCTAGCGGTCACTTAGGCCGCGCTAAAACTTATCAGGCGATAGCCTTGCGGTATTTCTGGGAGAATATGGTCTCCCAAATAATTAAATACGTCGATCACTGCTTTGCATGCCAGCATCGCAAGACATTGCGCAAAGCGCCACCCGGTAAATTACAGCAAATCGCTATCGGCGAACCCTGGTTCAGAATGCAGGTAGATTTGAAAGGGCCATTGCCCAAGACAGCACGTGGAAACACGTATATTGCCGTAGCAATAGACGAACTCACGAAATTCGTGATTGCGAAACCGATACCAGACGCAAAAGCGGAAACCGTAGCAAATTTTTTAATTTACGATGTGTTCCTACCGTATGGAACACCGCAGATATTAAACACTGATAGGGGTACGCACTTCCATAATTATTTATTGGAAGCAATAAATAAACGTTTGCGAATACAGCATCATTTTGGTGCTGCGTACCATCCGATTGGACGAGGACTTGTCGAACGACAAATGCAGACGATAGCCGATTCACTCGCGATGTACGCCAGTGATGGTCGGGAACGTAACTGGGACAAAGTCCTTCCTTTCGTAATCGCCGGAAAAAAATCGTGTAGCAAACAAAACGACGAATATGTCGCCGTATTTTATGCTATACGGTAGAGAGCAGGTTATTCCTGCAGACACCGAAACTAAGACAAATTTGCCGTCTGATCACGCGACAATTCGCGAATACATGGAGGAGCTGCGCTACAATTTAAATCGCGCTCATGACATAGCCGAGTTACATATTCGTAACGAATTTGAAAAGAACGCCGAGCGATTCGACAAAGGTCGATCAGAAGATACTTTCAATATTGGAGATTTAGTGATGTTAAAAATAGAAAAAAAGAAAGGTGAGACGGAGTCATTTCGTCGCAGGTTCGAAATCGAACCGTGGGAAATTATAGGATTCCCATACACTAACGCTGTCGAATTGAAGAAAATAAACTCCGATAAATCGGAGGAAATCCGTATAGTAAATTGCGAACGCATAAAGCCATACAGGACGACAGAAGAGGACCGGAAAAATGAAAACCCTATTAATTAGGGACCTTTTGGAAAATAATAATTTAAAGGAAATCCCCGATAATCAGGTGGTCTTGGCAGATAGTTCTGCCGCTAATATTCCCGCTACCGACGTGGTCCGTACCTCTGCAGAAATTGCTGCCGACAATCCCCTCGTACCTGATTCAGAAGAGTGGGAAACAGAGAATGATGACGAAAATAATACTAAGCACAATAGCGCTAATAAACCAGTGCCAAAAAAGCGATTTTTGCTTAAGCTACGCAAAAGCGCTAATGGATACACAAGAGTTAATCGTGTAGTTATTGAGCTACCGTACAAAGTACGCAAAGAATAAAATGACAAATTAGAACGATCGTTTTAATTATAGGATGTTGAAGCACGATAGAAAGCGAAGCTTAATTAAAATACCGTACAAAATCCACAATTAGATTGTGTATTTTTCCATTGCAGATATTTCCCGCAATGGACCGCGATCAGCGACCGAACCGACCGGTTGGCAGAGGTAATCCTCGATTCTTCGCCCCACCCGTAGCGGGAAATCAAGCATACCGCCCGATACAGCGATTCGCTGCCCCGAGTGTCCAGAACGCTCAAAGCGCCGGTAATTTGCCCAATGTGGCACCAGAAGTGATTCCAGTGACTATGTCACGTAGCACGCAAACTGATCCAGTAATAGTGGCATCGTATGCCGAATACGAGCTATTGTTGCGTAGTAATCGGGAACGCGACTTGGCATCATACAGACACTCATTGGCAGCGACTGCTGCCCAACCAGAGGAAATAGCTGCAGTTGATCAACTGCATATTACTCCGCCAGCAGAAAGAGTGGCAAAGGCCATGATAGCGCGTGCAAAGGCACAGAGTGATGCGGCGGAAGCTTCAAAAGAAATTGAAGAAGTGCCGTACGAATCAATTGTAAAGAAACCTATTAAATCGCCTGCAAAGCAGGAGTAGAAACGGCGTTGAAGGCAAACCCTAAGCGAAGCAGATCACCGAAACCACCGGCAGATGCCGACGAGCGATTAGCAAAGCTAATCGCCGACCACGAGCAACAAGAGGCCAGAGATAGGCAGCGTTGGGGACAGTCCTTCATAATGGAAGGTCCGTTCGCCCCGACGAAAACAGACGCCCCTAATGGGAAAGAACTTCGAGTAGTTACGATACCGCAGCACGTGTATAATACACCACAAGTCTTAACGCAGATAAGGCCACAGTTGCAAGTGCAACCGCCCCGGCGTTCTGGAAAGAGACTGGTTTAAAGCCAGCCGTAATTAGATTCCCTACTCCTATGGGAGTTGTCCAAGCGCCGGTCGAACACCAACAACCGGCTGGGACCTTAAAAAGGGGTACGAACCCGGTCAGAATTAAGGAGGAACAGAGTTATATAATCCCGAAATTATCGGGAACGCGTACTCCGTCGCCAGCTACTAGCACAGTATCCTACAGGACACATCCGCATCGAGTGCAAAGCACAACCTCACCAGGTGAGGAAGAAAAGAAGCGGAAATTAGTGGAGGAAAAAGAGGAAATCACACGAAAAGTCGTGCAAGTAAGGGAGCGGCTGAGACATCAGCCGTCGTCATCAGAAGACGAAGAACATTCCCGTCTCGTGATCGACGAGACCCGCAGCGATCAGGCACAGAAAGGTAGTGAAGAGGACTTGATTAAGTTCTCTAGCGAGTCAAATGGTCGGAATAACTCGCCGGAAATTCCGGAACCCTTACCGAATGTCAGTTTACCATCACCAGCAAAGACTGGGCGATCACAACCGCCGAAACCGGTGACCAGTGAACAGATAGCACATATTACAACGTTGACATTGGACATTATAAATAATGTCCGGAAGAAGGATAAGATGGCAGCACCGGTCCATTTGCTACAGAGATACAGGCAGATTATGGCCCTCGACAAATTGACGCCGAGGAATACGCATCTGCCGTGAAGGTAGCCTCAGAGCGTGGTACGTTGGTGGAAGTTTACGAGAATTGGTCACCAACAATGAAGTATGCGATAACCGCAAGCCGTAAAAGTCGATATGTCGACATGCGAGTTAATAACATGCAGGAAATGGTAGAAGCAGTGGCAATAGCCATTAGGGACATCCACAATGTTCGTGGATCAACCATCGATGAAATTGTTAGGTATATGTACCTAACTATGCCGTTAGACTCGGTTAATCCCGAACAGCGCTATTCAGATGTCACTACCGCTGTTAATGAGGCAATCGCCACAGGAATAATCGTAGACGCAGCATTAGAAGGGAATAGTGGGCGCTATGCGCTAGTGAAACTAATCGTAAAAGGATAGCCGAATTAACCGGCCAACACGTAGAGGAAGTACCATATTCACCCGCGAAGCGCGTTCCATTCGGGCGAAGGCCTATAGCCCTAGATGAACAAAAAACTTTGTTGGCACAACCATCGCGTAATGATTTGGCAATAGCCATATATAAAATTGAGCAGAGAGGGGAAAATCCCACAGCACAGCGGATAAGCGAGTATTTCGGCACTTATCAACCGTACGCTGTGCAGTCTATGATTCGTGCGATGTACGAAGCTTCACAAATAACCCGTCGTTATAATGGCGAAACTTCGCCGTCCTATTATTTTGGTCGTAAAGGACTGTCCTTTCTGCAGCGAGTGCAATTCGAGAAAGTCCCCCAGTGGGATGAAATCGTTATAAAAACGATTGCAGAAATTGCCGACCCTTCGGGATCGTCGCCTGACGAAATCATACAGTATATTACCACTGTATGTCCAGCAATAGCTGACCAAGTGGACGATGCTGTAACTCTAGCGATAAGCCGCTTAATTAGCGACCCGAGAATTATCGGGTTGAATGACCCGCATCGCGGGATGGTTTTATCCGTGGTGTTAGACCACGTTAGCGAAGAAGAGAATTAATCCAATTTTACAGTATCTCCGAGGTGGTTAGATGCGTATACTACGCAATAATATTAAAAACGCCTTAAATACTGCATAATTTAATTATTTTAAATTATTTGCAGAGATGGAGGAATTACCGTACGCCTATGCGCCAATGCGCTCCTGCAATCGCTGTTTAAATAATACGAATAACCGTAAATGCGTGGAATGCACGCTGGGACCCAACTACCGATCGGATAATCCGCAAGTCGTTGTCTCCCGATTGTTTGACGAAGTACTCATGCGCAGCCTGGATGCGTATCGCACCATAACGCTGCCGGAGTATTGGACGGTAGTCTGTGCCACGCCATATTACTATAATGGCATCTACAAGAGTGCCGTTAGGTTTATTGGCGATCAAGCTGATGAATGGTCGTGTGCGACACACCCGGAGAACTTCGGACGGAATACCGCTAATCTGATGCAATGCATCGCTGCACCATCGAATCAGGTAACTATTCCAGTGAACAGTACCTGTGGGAATTTTGAGATATTCCCGGTCAATACGGGTATTCAATATTCCTCGAATAGAGATAATTCTCATAATTTACAGAATTATCCGACGAGTGTCGGTGGACAGCAAATGCCGTCTCAACAACCAGCATACGGCCAATGGCAGCCGTCGGTTGTGTTTTCACCGCAACATCAGCAGCAAAGTCTGCCGGGATATCAGCCACAAATGCAGCAAACACAAACACCTATTCGTTATACGAATATGGCGCTGCAAGTACCACCGGGCGCATTGCCTCCAGAGCATATTGCTCATCTTCAGCAGAGCCTCCCCAGCGGAAGCTACCAGTATGATCCAGAGACGAAAATGATAACTCCGTGTCCATGGCCAGCCGGGACAGCACCGAAAGAACCCCCACAGCGGCAAACTAATCCGCTGTTAGCGAATCTTCCGCCGCTGACCAGGAAACCGCCAGTGAATCAACAACCGCCTTTACAATTGCTGCGAGTGCAGCCTGTACCTGTAAGTGAACCAGTTTTCGATTCCGAGCCGAACTCAGGTGCTAGTCATTCTAGCAACACTAGCAATGCTAGTGGCAAAACTCGCCATAAAATTACTTACAATTTACCGAATGTGGGGAAAACCCCAGATAATTCTTTTGAAGAAGGCGATATTATGCCCGGTAAGCTGAATGCAGCTGTTAAATTTCAGAGGAAGAAGGCAGCAATTGGAACATCCGCGCAACGCGCGATAAATCAACACCGTATAAACCGGATGCATCTGTGTTGGTGATGCCTGAAAGGCAAACACATCCACAATACATCCGCCGCGATATCGACGTTATTCGTCGTGATTTGGAGTTATATGTGGATCGTGTTGTGTCAGTAATTGGCACAGTTAATACCGACCAAAGAGCCGAAATTGGCAAAGCCATTATTGACACTTTGGATTTACTCCATACTATCGGATATGATCTCCGTATTAAGAACTCGATCAATATGTATAAGATTGATCTGTTCCGTCAGATGGAGATTAGGCGATACGAAACGCCACGCCGTCATGGACTGCGTAGCGCGCTGGATATTTCCAGCTGAAGGAGAAACTTATCGAAATTACCGTAGTAGATTGGGAATTAATTTCCCAGTTTAAAATCTTATACACCGAACAATCCGGAGGAATTTCTCCTGCAGTTCATCCTACCGGACACGGATCCAGCAAAGTTCTGGTTTTCTGCCGTGCCGCGTGTGCAATACAGCGAAAAGTTGCCCCATGAAAATTACATGGGATACGATTAATATCGGATGGGGACTTAAGTATATTCTGGTCATCCTCTCCGCGCTAATGGGCAATTGCCACGCTCACCACTGGGCCCGCACATACCGGCAGGAGGAACAGAATCGTCGATTAAAAAGCTACGTTAATCGCTTGGGCGAGCCTCTAAATGAGGAACAACAAGCGAAAGTCTTAAATGACATTCTGGGTGTGATGCAAGTCGACGGACTGAAGACCGAATCAATCCATAATGGATACTATGACGGGATCTATGATCTCATTAAGCGATTTGCTGACCGTCAAAGTCAGGGGAAGCGCAAAGTCGCCCCAAATTCTCCCGACACTCCAACGACCAGCAAGACAGTCCAACCTGAACCGAAGAAAACCGTAGTGTCAATGGACACTGAAGAAACTGACGAAACGCCGGAGACAGCTAATGCTGCACCAGTAATTGCAGAGAACACTGCAACCGTACCGCCGACTGTGAATACCGAATCTGCAGTGATCACTGCGCCACCTAGCGAAATTCCGCGAACGGATGTCGTGGCGTCGGTGGAATCACTGACGATTTCAGGAAGCGCAGAAACTCCTGGAAGAAGCAGTAATGGAGACGGATGAGAAGCCGTCTATGAGAATAATTTTCTCTATCCATCCCGCCAAGCCCTGCGGGACAGGCAGTACGAACTGGAAGCAATGGGCCAGGGTTGACCTACCGATGTGGACCACTTGATTTTCGCGGTACACATACCGGATAACGATACCGACCCGTTGTATTATCCAGGAGGAAATGGAGAGCGGATATGTTGGATGATAGTGCCGACATTAAGACTACGTCTGCCGTATTGAGCAACGCTCTTAACGTACTAAATGCCGAACCGCAGATGGAAACGCCGTAAAGCATTAAATGCTAAAATTAAACGCCGTAGTACACTGTGTATAAATTGAAATCGCCGTATTGTACTATGAGTACACAACTTCATATTAATCGCCGTAGTGCACAATGAGTCGCAAAATTAACATTGTTAAATCGCCGTACAGTACAACGAGTACAAAACGAAAAGGCCGTAACGCCCAACGAGTGCACCAGATTGAATTCATTTCAATCCTTACAAAATGAATCGCCGTAGATGCACAAATCAGTGCATAATACTTGGTTAAAGAACTGCCGTAGTGCATTAATTGCAGGAAAACGGATAAATCAAATCGCCGTAGATGCACAAATCAGTGCATAATACTTGGTTAAAGAACTGCCGTAGTGCATTAATTGCAGGAAAACGGATAAATCAAATCGCCGTAGATGCACTATGTTGCACACATGTCGTGGATCGACGCTACAAAGCGTATAATTGGAGGAAAACTCCGGAATGGAACCTGCAAAACTAACACGGATTAACGTGTGCGATTTTGGAAATAACCGGAATGGGAATTTAACGGATTCTGTTACGAGTATAAACTCGTTTTGATTAAATTTACGCCGCACTTTGCCGCGTCTTGTTCTCACTAACTGTGATGAAATAATTGGCACATTTTTTTTATAAGAATTTCTCATTATGTTGCATATAAGATGCGTTTTTTCATTTCTCATTCCTGTTTTGAGCCTCAAGGGGCTTCGGCATCCCGTCCCGTGGCATGTCAGAGTGCCGTGCATATAGCACAGGGTAGTGGCACATATGCCTCACCATCATTGGATCGGCTCGCCATATGCCAGCTTTCTCAAACACGACGGAACGTGTTTGCCATTCGGATGCCAGCATCGGAACCGTTAACATCGTTTCCTAGCTTTCCTTGGTTTCATGCCCTTTTTCTCACCTTTAGAGATTTGTTTTGATGCTGATTAGCATTTATTTCATTGAAATAAAAGCGATTATTTCGAGGAGATGTTGTTTCCGTTGTCATTTCCTCTGTACAGCGTAGACGCCGGTGGCTGGAGTATTAGCGGCAGAATTATCTACCACAGCGCTGATCACCTGCTTATCAGGAATTTCACTTAAATTATTATTTTCCAATAAATCCCTAATTAATAGGGTTTCGTTTTTTCTATCCTCCTCGGTAGTACGGTATGGTTTTATCCGTTCACAATTAACAATGCGAGTTTCCTCCGTTTTATCAGAGTTTATCCGTTTAAGTTCCACCGCATTGGTGTAGGGAAATCCCACAATCTCCCATGGTTCGATTTCGAACCGACGACGAAACGATTCCGTCTCTCCCTTTTTCCTTTCTATTTTAAGGATCACAAGATCCCCTATGTTGAAGGTATCCTCTGATCGACCTTTGTCGAAACGCTCGGCATTCTTCTCAAAATCGTTGCGGATATGCAACTCGGCTATGTCGTGAGCGCGATTTAAATTATAACGCAGTTCCTCCATATATTCACGTATGGTCGCGTGATCTATCGGTAAATTCGTTTTAGTCTCCGTATCAGCAGGAATAACCTGCTCCCTACCGTACAGCATAAAATATGGCGACAAATTTGTCGTTTTATTCGCTACACGATTTTTCCCAGCAATTACAAACGGTAGGACTTTGTCCCAATTACGCTCGCGGCCATCACTGGCATACATTGCGAGTGAATCGGCTATTGTCTGCATTTGTCGTTCGACAAGTCCACGCCCGATCGGGTGATATGCAGCACCGAAATGGTGCTGTATCCTTAAACGTTTGTTTATCGCCTCCAATAAATAATTATGAAAATGCGTTCCTCTATCGGTGTTCAATATCTGTGGTGTTCCGTAAGGCAGGAACACATCATAGATTAAGAAATTAGCGACAGTTTCCGCTCTTGCATCTGGTATCGGTTTTGCAATTACGAATTTCGTAAGTTCATCTATCGCTACGGCGATGTAGGTATTTCCCCGTGTTGTTTTGGGCAATGGCCCTTTTAAATCTACTTGCACTCTGAACCACGGCTCGCCGATAGCGATCTGCTGTAGTTTGCCGGGTGGCGCTTTGCGCAGTGTCTTGCGGTGCTGGCATGCAAAACAGTGATCTACGTACTTGATAATTTGAGAGACCATATTCTCCCAGAAATATCGCAAGGCGATCGCCTGATAAGTTTTGGCGCGGCCTAGATGACCGCTAGCTGGTGCATCATGCATTGCATGCATGATATCCACGCGCATGTGCTTTGGCACAACAAATCGGCGATTAATTCTACCGTCTTTTTCCGAAATCTTATATAGTACTCCATTCCATAATTCGTAGCCGGAATAACCGGGTCGCTTTAGTAAGTGTACGCTTTCTACGCGTCCTTCTAGCGCATGTATTATGCGTTCGATATTCGGATCTTTTTCCTGTTCTACTCTGTAGAACTTGAAATTGTCCTCCTCTTCTTCATGGTCGGCTCCGTCCCTTATCGTTACTACACGAATGGACGGAGTACTGAATTTTGAGTCTTTAAACTCATCCCAGTCATCGTCTGGGCATTCTGTAGCCTCTCCTACCGGGTGCCTACTCAACGCGTCAGCGTTATCACATTGTTTTCCCGGCCTATATAAAATAGTCATTTTATGACTGCTGAGCTGAAGTGCCCAACGCGTTAATCGGCCGTTTAATCCCTCTTTGCGGGAAACTGATCGCAGTAAATTCGTTAAGGCTTGGTGATCGGTCTGCACCGAGAAATGGGAGTATTCTATAAAGTGTCGAAATTTCCGACACGCAAAGACTACTGCCATGCACTCCAATTCTGTAATTGGGTACTTTTTCTCGGCATCGGTGAGCAATTTGCTCGCATAAATAATCGGATGTCCATCTTGGTGTAATATTGCACCGATTCCTATTGTCGATGCATCGCACTCAATTACGGTTGGTTTACTGGGATCAAATTTCGCCAATACTGGCGCGTTAATTAATGCCGATTTTAAATCAGCAAATTCACCATCGTGATCTGCGGTCCAATTTGATTTTACATCAATTTCTCCTTTTAATAGGCCGTATAAACGGCGCGTTCTACCGGCAAAGTCTTTGACGAACTTACGATAATAATTGCAAAGTCCGAGAAAAGATCTTAGATCCTTCTCTGTCTCTGGCTTTGGGTATTTTTCTATAGCCGCTATTTTATCGGGATCAGTTTTTATCCCATCCTTGGACACGATATGTCCGAGGAAGTGCAATTCTGTCTCGCCAATATGGCACTTACTCGGTTTCAGCGTGAAACCTGTCTTTAAAAGACACTCACACATTAAACGTATTTTACGTTTAAGGTCTTCGAAGTCTTTGGCGGCGGCGATAATGTCGTCTAAATAAGCAAAAAT